TGATAGAATCCATCCATCAGATCCATGGACGAAAAGATGGTACTCTTTGACATACCATCTATGATTACGTCCTTCCTCGGTATCGGCGTCTGAGCCGGTACCGTTGCAGCATTCAACTTGTTGAATGCGTGCACTATCCGCCACCCTCCTGTGGCCTTTCGCACACATAAGGTCGGAGAGCTGTGAGGGGATGTTGATTCCCTCAAATGGCCCGCTGCTAAGCGATCGGCAAAGAACTTGTCGATCGCTATCACTTGTTCACGAGGCAGTGGCCACTGCTTCATGACACAGTATTTCGAGCCCGGTTTGAGCTCGATCTCGTGTCGAGTGCCTTTGTCCTTAGGCAACTCGCAAGGTACGGATTCAGGGAACACATCCCTGAATTCGATCAAATCCGTATACAAAGGATTTGCCTGAAGTGACTCCCAGGATTGGGACGCGTATCGCTCAATCCGAGTCTTCTCATCGAGGACACTTTCGTCCATCGATGAGCTGCTGAGAACCCGTTCGTTCTCAGCAAATACTGTTGCCGACCGAATGTCGGTCACATACTCGTCTTCTGTGACGAGTACGCAGATCTGCTTGACTTTGCCACTACGCAGATCACGCAAGAACCGTTTCGGTTCTAGCGTTGGCAACTGAGTTATCTCCGAAGTCAACTTCGGAGGCACAATCAGATCAAGCGTATAAGCGCCTACGCTCGATCCGTCATTAACCAAGACGTTCAACGTCTCGGTTTCTTCCTGGGATCTTGCTTCCACAGGTTGCTGAGGGCCTGATCCCTCAGCAAGCAACTCTTGAGGAATTCCTTCCTCAAGTACGTGGGGACTTATTCCCTCGACGTCTTCCGACTGTGGCTGTGCAACCACAGTCAGGAACCGATCCTCTACGGTCGACTCTCCAGTCGACCTAGGATTTTCATGTTGCCCCTTGGGGGCAACAGATTTATTTCTTCTAAGATGCTGCCCGCTAGGCATGCATCCATGTCCCGGTCCACTCGACTTATTCGAGTGGTGGACCTTCGGCGCAGCCTGTACTTCTGTACAGCCGCCGGGAGCTTGCTCCACAGTGTAGTGATCAACTACACTGTGACCTTGTGCAGTCGTGCTAACGACCGTACCGCAAGTGAGGCCATCGCACTCACTCGCAGAACATCCACACGCTTGTGGACGCTCCAAGATGTTCATCAGATGGCCATCTGATGAACAAGCAGCAGGCATCTTCACGGATCGATGCTGCCAGCTCACCCTTGGCTCGTATTTTCTGAGCCAAGGTAATCCCAGGATGACATCAAATTTGTCATCCAGATCTAGTACGATGAAATCATCATCGTACTGCTCGCCCTCTAACGTGTAGTGGATTCCTACTACACGTTTCTCAACGGTTATCGATGCGCCTGTTGCAAGGCGCACCGTCATCCTTGTGAGGGGAATGTCGCGCTCAACGAACTTGAGCCTACGACCCTCTAGTGACTGGCGACGAACAAAGTTGTTCGACGCCCCACAGTCTACTAGGGCACGAAGCGACAAGTCATTTGTCGCTTCCAACTTAAAGGTGATGAGCGAAACGTCATCACCAGGTGCAGAGACACACAATGATTGTGTATCTGGAGCAACTTTCGTCAAGAGGTTTGCAAATTCTCTTGAGGTTGCTGGATCAGTAGGGCGCTCCGCCCCTACTGACCCCGACCATTTTTTGATGGCCCGTCTCGCTGTTGCGGCTTCGCAACAGCGCTGGACCCACGCCCATTGCCCTTTCTGGCGAATGGTCGTCCATTTCGCTCAGTACTGTTTGGTACTGGGCGCGGAGCACTACACTCGTATGCGTAGTGCCCTAACTTCTGACAGCGATTGCACCTCTGCAATCGCTTGTTGCTTGTAGAGCGAGGTCTCTCGCTCTCAACATAACAGAGGTCCATTGGTTCTGGACCTCCGATCTCTTGTCGTCTCGGTGGACGGTAAGAGTTTGAGCTAGCATGAGCCTGTCTCATGCTAAAGTCTTCCTGTTCCGCGGCTGATATCGCTTCTTCAAGCGTATTCAGCTCAAGGCGGAACAGGTGGCTCCTGACGGGCCCTTCTGCGAGCCCTTGCATGAACACCGTAATCAACGTGTGTTCATGAACTGGGTTTGCAGTTATACTACTCGCAAGGAGTCGTATATGTTGTGCGTAAGCGTGCACATCACGCTTACCCTGCTTGAGTTTCAGGAGCTCTGAACGAGCCCTGAACTCAGCACGTGGCGGCTCAAACGTTTGTCTGAGCCGGGACTTGAAGTCATCTAGCGACCTAAACACATTTGGGTCGCTACTCTCGAGTCCCAGGGACCAAGTTTTGGCACGCCCTGCCAAGTGGGTCTGAGCAAATGTGAGTTTCATTTGCTCATCTTCGACGCGACGAGCCCTTAGGGCTCTGTCGAGTTCGACAAACCATAGTAACAGGGAGTCCTCCGGGACTCCACTGTACTTGGAGATGTCGACTTTCATCACTTCGGGACGACGCGCATGCGCCGTCCCGCCCACAGCAGCATGGAATTGCTGCTGTCTCAACAGCTCCGTCTGTTGAGCACCGAGTTCTCTCAACTGCTCGGCCTGTTGAGAGCCTTGCTGGTAAAGCAAGGCTACTTTCTCCCTCTCGAGAGCAAGTTCATTGTGAATGAACTTGGCGATAGCAGCATGTTGTTGGTCTCTGTCTAGAGACTCCAACATGGTGCTGACGACGAGTTCGCCTACGGTAGAACTCATTCGTTCTACCGCACCCCATTCGATGTCACTCAAATGGGTAAACCCTTCACGCGTGGCGTGAAAGGTGTCTTCTTCATCCAACATGTTCATGTTGGATGATGTGGTCCTTGGAAGGACTACAAAGTGCTACCAGGTGTAACGGGGCACACCCTTGCGTAACTTAACGCAAGGGATTTGGGTGCCCCGACGGACGTACACGTGGCAAGCGAGGAAGCGTAGGTAGGGTAAAAGTAGAACTGTTATATTAATAAATTAAGTCTTTAAACTACTGTCTCTTCGTTTGACTTAATTCAATTATACTAATATAACTGCATGTATGGTGACGTCTCGTCACCACTCATTGCGCGCGTCTTGCGGCGATTGGTGGGTTGATATCATCAAGATTTCAACCAATGAACAGACCCTTTGGTCGACCCTTCAATATCACCACTTTGGTGATATTGTTTAAAGAATATCCATCTTATATTCTTTATTGTCACTTTCCTTAAGTGACAATATCATGTAACGGGCTGCCCCGTTACAGATATCGCCAGGAGAACAGCACGATAAGCAAAGACGGCGAAAGACTATCGACAACCTCTTGACATAATGCATCCAAAGTATTCTCACTGCTCGAGCATGCAGTACGCAGAACAGTTCGCCTGCTCGATCATTCATTAGCCGTGGCCGTCGTGCCAGCTTGGGACTCCGCATAGTCGTGGTTTTGCCTCGTTCTGCAAATGAGCCGAAATCTGTGTTTGTGTATTTCGTTAAATGGTATCGATCGACAATAGGAAGGTGCGGAAGATCAATTGGAACGTACGGAAGATCCATTGTGCTACTAGCTGCAGCGATTAACCGGCCTTGTGAAAATTGCATCCAATTTTTACATTGGTCAGTCACAAGTCAAAGTATCGCATTCCAGTTGTACTTGACAATGGCCGAGTGTGAAGTAAATAAGCCACGGCAAACTCTGCATGGGCCACGTTGTTGTGCATGTTACTGTTTGCGTAGTTTTAAGTTCGTCAATACGTCAAAGTCTGCTGTTATAATTCGACTTTCGATCACATTCAGCACTTGCGTCATTCCACATCCTGGTTCTCGCCGCTTGTGCGTTTCTTCTTCCTTCCACTCTCGACGTTTGGTCCATAACGAGCACCACCGCGGGTTTCAGTGAACAAAAGCATGTTGAAGCTGTGCATTTGCGTCATGCGCGGTCCCCCTTACGTGGTGCCCGTGGAACGAAACTAGTGACTGAGGCGCGACAGACGCTGAGCCACAAGTTTCAGGCAGATTTGTACCGCATGTCGTGTACGACATGGGGTCACAGGAACACCGTCGATTGAATGGGGCCTTAGCAACTTGGATTGCCTTGAATGTGTCGAGGATAGTGTCAGTGGACCCCTCGCTTTCGGCTGACGTTTCAGAGGTTGGCTGCAAGTCGGACTCGGCCGACAATCAAGCCGATGCATCCGCAAAGGGACAAATATATATGTACAGAAACATGTAAATGAACAAGACCGATCGATCGAAACTGCGGGTGGACACGACCAGAATGTGCGTGGTGTTGTTCCCGCTGATATTTGATGGTAACTGGGTGGCGGTAGAGTCGAGAGAGGCCTGCTGTAGCCATGTTCGGCAAAGCCTTGCGCACGACACGCAATGATTATGCGAAAGAATTGGTGTCATAGGCCGCCGAAAATGGCGGCTGCACTTGTTGACAAGGGTGTGGCATTCCAACGGGACTGGGGGCTAGTTGCTGGAATGCCGACGGTGGAATCACTATCGGCGACATTCAGCAAAGATAGTTTGGCTCTTCGTTAGGTGATTGCACTACCGCTGAGAAAAGGTAGGGGACATGTAGCATAGCATCTCTTTTCTAGGGTCTCACCTTGCAGATACATAGCGGATGTCGCGTTGCTTGACATTCATACAGCCAAGACTTGAGGATCGCAGTCTTCAGGAATTTATCCTAGCGGCATTTGGTTCCGTCACAAGTTGATCAAATTGAAGCTACAGTGCTCTCCGATTTCTAATGGATGCGTCGTGGTAGAATGTCGATCTCACGCCAACACTCGGTGCATCTTGAGCTTCCCGTCGTGTTTGAACAAGACGGCGCTAGTTTGGCTTCTTGGATTGTCGACTATGTATGAGTTCGTATGTCTGACTACTTCCTTGCAGAGAACAACCAAGCAACTGCTCATCAACTCGTACGGCGATGTTCAATCAAATTGCATTAGAACGTCATGCGGGCCCCAGCCAGTTTACAAACCTACAGAACTTACTGAAAGGGGTCCCATTCCGACTTCTTAGTTTCTACTGCATCAGCTGCGCTCGGGGCAGCAGGTGACGAAGCAAAGTCGAACGGGTCGTTCGAAGTCAATGGTCGGACAAGCTTCACTCCATGTGCCTGAGCAGGACGTGCTTCTCGTAAGACCGCAGTCCCATAAGTACCCCAGTCTTCACAAGACACGGCGTTCCGGTTGTGCGCCGATACAAGCTCCGAGCTCTTAGCAGGCACCGTTGATGCCAATGCTGAGCGCAGCTCCCCCACTGTCAACGCGCCTTTCGACAGAGCAAAACTCGGGTTCTTGGACTCAATCGAGGCAGACCCATTCGATTGCTCAGTGAGTCGTCCCCCAGCAGTCAGGTCTCCTGCCTTCACGGCTGCAAGGCGTCCAGCCAAATCCGCTTTCATCGCCATCAGCTGCGCAGTCTGCTGCTGGAGTGCTACAAGTTCCTGCGTCAACCCACTTGCAAAGTCAAGTGCATTCTTTTCACCCCCAATAGAGTCGTGAGCCATCGTGACTGCCACGTTGCGCATCTGCGCGTCGTCAGTTTGCATGCTCTGGATCTCCTCTTTGGCTGCAAGCACGTGCTGCTGCAGCAAGCTCTTTAGGTCGTCCAGAGCGTCCAGCGACCGCAAGAACGGGGGCACAGGAAAGCCCAACTTGTCCACTTGGTCCGAAACCCGATCGACGCTCGTGTGCAGCGTCTGCTGCGCTGTTGCAATCGACTGGCGCATAGCCGACAGCACATCAATGTCCTCTTGTTTCGAACGACCCGCTGCTGTCAAGAGGGCGAGCAGCGACTTGGCATCGGTCCATGACGACAATGCACTGCATGACACGGACGCGCTCCCCGCTCGAGAGAACGACAGCGACGTGTAGGCTACAGGACGTTGTTCTTCGGGCGTCAAGTCCAACGTCGGGAACAAGTACACGGGGAACGGCCGCGGGATCTCGACGAGCTTGCGCTTGGTCAGGCACACAATAAAGTGCATCCCCAGCACGAACTCGGTCTCGTTCAGGTGGTCCATGTCGCGCAAGAGCCGAAGCTCCTTGATGCGCGTGTAGAGCTCCTGCACGTGGTCGTGCGAGAGACTCGACTTGCAAAAGAACGTGACTGCCGCGTGGCGAGAGAGGAGGAGAGGAGGAGGAGGAGAACAGTTTGTAAGAGAGGTCGTGAGTTTGGCATAGAAGGCACGATAGCGACTGGCCTCGAGTTCGATCATCGTGTACAGCTGCGTATCGAGCGGAAGGTCAGTGGCGGGAGGTGTGGGGCACGAGGCACTGGACGTCATGTTGTGATGTGTGGAATCGGCTGACGAGGAAAGAGCGCGTGAGACGGTGGAAGGTGGCGGTCCCTTGTCGGTCAGAGCGTCGGCGGTGCGTTTAGCGTACACGACTGGGCAGGCGGAGCTCGTTGTGTGTGTGGGTGACACTATTCCGGCAAATAGAGAGAGATTTGAGATGGCAGAAGACCTGAAAAGCGGGCGTTGGCAGCTCGAAATGCATGTGGTGCGGTAACTTCTCGTGCGGAAGAAGGCATCTGGTTGGCGTACGTTGTATTGTATACGGGCTGAACCAGGTTCCCATAGCGCAACGTGCTGCGGTTTGTTGCTGAGTTGGCTCGTTTCTTCTGACTGCGGTCGTAAAGATGACGGTCAATGTGTCACTTGTATAGGCGTTCGTCTGCCAGCCGCATGAGGATGAGAGCGAGGCGCCGTCCGGCTCCTATCTCGTCGTTCTACGATAGAGTGTTGCTACTGCGTTTGGCTACTTTAGAATGCACATGGACGTTTAGCGGCAATAGAGTTGCTGCGAAGTGGCTGCGGCTGACAAGAGCTGGTTAGGATTGGCATTGGCGCGTGTCAGTCCCAGCAAGACTGTCGCTGAACAGCTTGTAGAGTCGTACGCAAAGCTTCCGCCAGACTTGCACGCAACGAGATTCGCGACCGAAGTTGAGTTGTACAGACTGGACGCATGTCGTGCTGCTCAAGACACTATAGGCGCCATTTTACACAAGGAACAAATGAGGCATGTATCGTGTTGTAGACGTCTCGGTTAACGTTGTTCACTCGTTGCAAAGTAGACTTTCGCCCCTTTTCCATGCGTTTCTAGGCGCTCGAACACATTTGCGTGGATAGGTCGTTCGTACGTTCAAGGCAGCCAATCTTGCACTCGAATAAAGGGACACGTGTCCTTACCTCACGTCGATGTACAAGGGCTTTGAGGGTAAGAAGGTAGTGTTGTTAGAACGCTTCGTCCTACTTTGAACCTTTTGACCGCACGTTCACATGAAGTGGCCGGCACGACTTTCTTGTGAGTTTGCCATCGTTCCATCGCGCTGTGAGGTCCGAGGAAGACAGGCGAGAAAAAACCCGACAGTGCTGCATTACGCGCTTGTATTTATTGAAAATTTATTGCTGTGTTAATCGACGATGCTGACACGGCCATGACGCAAGACCCAATCGCTGAATGTACTTTGCTGTGCACTTCGACGGACCGCACCATTCGCACAGTTTGTTGAATGTTGCTTCATTGTAAAAATTGCATATGATGTTAATTTGCATGCACCCGGCCAGCGCCGTTTTATATCGTGAGCGTATATGTCAAAATGTTGCAACGAGCGGACCGGGCACCGCACGGGAAGCCACATAATTTGGTGCTATGCGAAAGCAGATCTTTGCACCTCAAAGCATCGTCGGGAAATGGGATAGGCCAGTTTGCATAGCAAATCAACTTGACTTTATCGTTTTGGCCCGAAGTATTAAGTGCGATTCGACATCATTCATTGGATATTATGTCTTCAGTTTAAGTATTGAGACACCGGCTGTGGTAGGTTGACCTAAAGAATAATGCGATGCCCGTGAAGCATCAGAAAAAAATCAATTTAGAGACGAAAATCAGCAGAAAAGAATTCAACGAGTCGGTAAATGGTTTATATGACTCTAATATCGCAGCGGACAAGACAGAGGAAGTGGGTTAAGGCGAGGATATTACGCTATATGGAGTATCTGTAACGTGGATCGGCAAATAGCAGACCGGCGTGTCGTTTTAGATCATGGAGGTCGATTCATATCGGCCTCGCACGACGGCAGTTACCCTCTTGAACTGTGGAAACTTCTATGTGAGATTGTGTAGACGGTGATTGAGCCGAATATAATGTTAATGGGCCTTCAGTCGGCTAATCCATTCTGAAGCGAAGGATAGTCTGTATATCGTCAATATTCGCGTCAAGTTCTGTGAACATGCATTAAGATGATTTATATTTTAGATTACATCGAGTCGAAGTTTATGATCGATGACCCAAAAACACATTCATTGCCTCACCCAAGCATGACATACTTAAGATGATATTGTACAGCTGAAGTAAGTGAATTGTAGTGGGGGGGCGGCGAAAAGTGCGAAGACGGAGGAGGAGTGTTACTTTTGCCGTTGTTAAAGAGGAAAGCGTGTTACCAGCTTTCGACAGTTAATTCGGTCGACCACTTTCACGATCGGCGGATAATGCCGCTGGATGGAGAAACCGGTCTGCGTGCTCGCCTTACATATAGGAAGCCACGCGAAGTAAAGATATGATGACATTATCATTAACCAACCACAATATCACGTCCAATTTATCCACTGAACAGTCACTTCATGTGCATGAATTTGCAAGGTCGAAAAGCGTAAGCTACCAATAGTCTCACAAGAGAAAATCTGTCCGAGGAAGTCAACAAGAAAAATAGTATTGCAGCTGACAACCTGACGACGCTTAATAGATCGAGCATTACGTCCTTGGGGTGCAAGGTATAGACCGCAGCAAGCGGTCGACGAGAGAATAGAGGTGGTGTATATTCTTAAAAACAGTAAATTTTGAGCTCTGCATTCAATTAGTTAAAACAAGAAATAAATTAAAGATGCAGACCAGAATAATTTTGTATTTGGTAATAACGCGAAAAGATCATGGTTTTATTAGAGATGTATATTTTCTTTGTAATGTTAAAATCGGTACAATTTACGTGGCATTATAGGTTAGATGTCATTTGAGAATTTAATAGCAAATCGATGGTAAAAGTTATTCCTGTACCATTTTTCAATATACAAGACACCAAATTGCATCAAAAAAAGTAAAACGTGGAATTTAAGATATATTATTTTATAATTTAATTAGTAATTCTGTCAGGAATGGTCATCTGCAATTTACACACATCTCTGTCAACTTTGTTAATCCAAACGATACCGATATACCAGACAAACACTTTCAAATGACAACGATGCGTCTTTTTAAACGAAAAAGTAGGATGTCCCGACCAATAGATAGGTGCCCTACTCGTGGCCTTATACTCTCCTACACTAATCAATGACGCAGTTGTCCGTTTTACCTGTTTCGATCGTTGCATCACCACATCGATTGTAAATAAGGACAATACACACAAGGCAAGTAATCTGGCTTTTGGGATTATTAGAGGGAAGAAAATGCTCGCAGCCATATACATCCAGCGATTGCGTCCTCCGACACGCAGAGGTTGTTTCTATATCCGAATTTTGCACCAATTACGAAAAGTACTTCAGATAGTCATGACATGTATCATGATCGCGACGTTTATCATTTCAGCGATAGCCTGGCGTGAATAAGGAGATACTTTAAATCGCAAGGTAGGGCGCAAAAGTGGTGGTGTCGATGACGGAGCTCGATGGTCCAAAATATAATTTATATTGTATGGTACGTATCCTTGATGCCGCTAAATGATTATTCTTGTGGCTTTGTTACAAATGCTTCAATCAACTATGCTACTTACGGTCTCTAAGTCGAGGAGATCATATCGGATATCGATCAACAAATGCACGCTGCGATCGTAAAACGACGGTTAGGTTTACATAAGCCATGATGCTGCTATTTCTAATTACAAGTCGCAATGTAGACCATTCCAAGTATTCACCGCCAAAAGTCCACCGCCTTGTGTCTGCTGGATTTGTAGCCGTCAAAGTTGTGCACCATTTGTTTCGAACCGCTCACTTGTACCACGACCAACATTGTGGCGTGGCCCGATACTGATTGCATGTCCCACCATAACTTGATCGGCTGCAAGTACGACACTTTGTGTTTACGATTCAATAAAGTTCGAACGATCCAGCGGGTATCAAAGACTGACGGGTTACTGCTCACGGCCGTTCCAACACTTTTACCAGTTCTTGTGCGTCTCACTAGGAGCGGCAACAGGAGGCAGATCCTTTCGTTCTAAGCACTTCCAGCCACGATCATTCAACGGACGCTCGGTTTCTCGCACATGTTTTCCTTTTTCGTTGTGCCCGCACAAAACCTCACCGAACAGGACGTTTCACTTTGTAAACACATGTAGTCCACTCCAGTTGCCACGACCCGCGACCAAACGGGTCGTCTACCCCGTACCCGTCTCGAGTGTCACCCCCCCCCCCCCCGGGCCCAATCTCTTTCGTTGGCCCAGCACGCAGCGCGATCGTGGCGTAGTATCAGAAGAAAGAGTCGCCCGCCCCGTCGCGCATCGCTCGAGCCGCCCGCCCGCCACCATGTCGATGGTCTTTGACGAGTACGGCCGCCCGTTCATCATCCTGCGCGACCAGGAGCAGAAGGAGCGCCTCGATGGCATCGAAGCCATCAAGAGCAACATCCTCGCGGCCCGCACGGTGTCGAACCTCCTGCGCACGTCGCTCGGGCCGCGCGGCATGGACAAGATGCTGGTCAGTCAAGACGGCGACGTCACGATCTCGAACGACGGCGCCACGATCCTCGAGCAAATGCACATTGAGCACCGCGTGGCCCACTTGCTCGTGGAGCTGAGCAAGTCGCAGGACGATGAGATTGGCGACGGCACGACCGGCGTCGTGGTGCTCGCAGGCGCGTTGCTCGAGCAGGCCGAGAAGCTCTTGGCGCACGGGCTCCACCCCATGCGCATCGCCGACGGCTTTGAAGAAGCGTGTGACTTGGCGTGCACGCACTTGGAAGCGATTGGCGACGTGATTTCGTTTTCCGAGCAGGAATCGACGCCATTGGTCGAGACGGCCATGACGACGCTGTCGTCGAAGATTGTGAACAAGTACAAGCGCCAGATGGCGCAAATTGCCGTCGATGCGGTGATGAAAGTGGCCAATTTCGAGACGAAAGACGTGAACTTTGAGCTGATTAAAGTCGAAGGCAAACCGGGTGGCACGTTGGGCGACACAGCGCTGATCAATGGCATTGTCATTGACAAGGACTTTTCGCATCCGCAGATGCCCAAGGAAGTAAAGGACGCCAAGATGTGCATTCTCACGTGCCCGTTTGAACCGCCCAAGCCCAAGACGAAGCACAAGGTGGATATTACGAGTGTCGAGGCCTATGAACAGCTGCATAAGCAAGAACAGGAGTACTTTACGACCATGATCAAGCAAGTGAAAGATAGCGGAGCCAACTTGGTGATTTGCCAATGGGGCTTTGATGACGAAGCCAACCACTTGCTGTTGCAGAACGAACTACCTGCCGTGCGCTGGGTCGGTGGGGTCGAGCTTGAGCTAATTGCTATTGCAACGGGCGGGCGTATCGTACCGCGATTTTCGGAACTTACAGCAGAAAAGCTGGGCCGTGCCGGTACCGTGCGCGAGGTCGCTTTCGGCACGACAAAGGAGCGCATGCTCGTGATCGAAGACTGCGCGAGCTCAGACGCTATCACAGTGCTGGTGCGTGGTGGAAACAAGATGATTGTGGAGGAAGCAAAGCGTTCGTTGCATGATGCCATGTGCGTGACGCGTAACCTGATCAAAAACAACCGTATCGTATACGGCGGAGGTTCCGCTGAAATCGCTTGTGGTATTGCCGTGCGGGACCACGCTGATAACACCAAGGGTATCGAACAGTATGCCATTCGCGCCTTTGCCGATGCCCTCGAGGATGTTCCAATGGCTCTGGCGGAAAATAGCGGTCTGAGCCCTATTGACTCGCTTTCGGCTGTGCGCGCGCAGCAGATTGCTGAAAAGAACCCGCGACTCGGCATTGACTGCAACTCAACCGGCACAAACGACATGAAGGAGCAGCATGTGTTTGAGACCCTGATTGGCAAGCAGCAACAGCTGCAACTTGCCACCCAAGTCGTGCGAATGATTCTAAAGATTGATGATGTCATTATTGATGGCTCGTACGCGTAGGTCATGGCAAGCGTAGAATCGATACAGCTCTTAATGAACCACATGGTAGCAGACCAAGTGGAAGGAATCGACCGATGGTTTGCATTGTCGCCAGTTTTTGTGTGCGAGTTTCGTCGATTGCTGCTTCGGGGGATAGCAAATCTCGATGTCTAGGAGCGTGCAGGATACGTAGGCTTACGGATCCTTTGTTTGCTTCTACGCCACGCAGGCACTACATTGAGTTAGCACACATAAGTTCCAGGAAACTCAATGCCATCGTCCGGCCTTTACATTGGCACGGGTTGAGTGTGGTAGCATAAGAAGGACACCAAATATCATCAGAAGCAAAAGCGTCATAAAGTAGCTAGCAAGTATATTGACTATCTACATCGCGTCCAAATGTGTTTCGCATATATGATGACTATCAACACCGCCACAACCAGCTTTGCAGATTGGAAACACACCCAGTTGTAGCCGATAGCAAGACGCTATCGACACAATCAAGTAGAAACAAGAATCAAATTGCAAATCCCATCTTTTGAACATGCAAAACTTTAGAGCCCGCTCGCGGTCCGCAGAAGAATTGCACACAACGAAGCCAGCATATACCACATCTTACTGAGACCACAATGAAGTATGTAAGAACTTGGGGCAAAATTCGATCAAACGGCTGCATGCAGTCCAGCAATATGACTATCACTATCCTTTCGAAGAGAAACGTCAAAAGAAGGTGCTAGCATCTGCGCGTTTGACGGTAAGATATGGTTGGTCTTCACAAAAGCCAGGTCTGAACAATTAAGAGCTGATTGATTTGAAGCAAATATTCGCAAGGCGCCGCTAGACAAAATCCGTGTATGCAATATACGATTGTAACACCGCAAGTCAAACACGCTGACCAACGTCATCGGAATTACACGTGACGGCTCGTGTACAAGCTTCACAGCTGTAATTCACCAAGTTGACTTGCTCCAATTGTGGAACGAAGAAACTAGGTGCCCACATATCATTGACCAAGCATAGCCCGTTTCTAGTCCAGCGGCCTCGTTCATACATGCACGACATCGCCGTTAGCCAGGTATTACTCAAATGGTTTTTAATGGGTCTCCCTGATGGTCATACACCGACAATTTCTGCATTATTTGCGCTACAATTTGGCAAGCTAGTTCTGCGGATCATGCCAAATTGATGTGGAAAAGTGGATACATGCCAACATCAAGTAACTGCGTGTACCACTGTATATCACTGTATAGTTACTTTATAAAAGAAACCATAATGAATCAAACGTATCCGATCGTCCAGGCTCCTCTCCATGATTCCAAATACACCTTTACGGAATTGCGGCAGAGGCGGATCAGATAAGACTGAACGTAGCTGTGCATCCGCACAGCTACGTCCAGACTTCATTGATGCCTCCGTTTCGGAATTAGCGGTAATGCATGTCTATTGCTACTGCGAATGCCTTGACTTTCACGTGGTGTTTAACATGAAACGATAATGCTTTATCAATAGTACTACTTAAGCTAGCTAGTGTCACATTCGACTCGAAGGCATGCCAGCGAACGTCGGCCAGCTACCGCTCCATATAGGAACGCAGTCTTGGTACTCTGGCCTGTCGAGCGCATCAAACAGCTTCGCTCTCGCAATCCAGCAGCATATTGTCGCCTACTTTGCCCATGTACCTCGTTCTACATGTGACGTTGCACATCGACTCTTTCTGCCAGCAGGTACCAGTCCACCTGTTGCTGCCGTTGAGGCGTGAGTACCAAGACGGCTCACGTCGCTTTTCATGTGTGTGCTTTGTGTACTGGTTGCGGAGAACCGTCTCGTACGTGGCACTCGTAATCTCCAAGTAAAGTTATTGGCGCCTATTCGCGGCATGTCCGACGTCGTGCTGAAAGATGAGATGTCCCGACCTAGATTCATGCACAAGAGCGCAAATGAGTGTGCTGTACGACCATAGATGCCAAGCTCTTGTTTCTATACGTGGCTTTTTGTAGGAATATTCTACGGCGACCAGGATCTGCGCAAGGACATTTTGGCCTTACACGCAATCCAGCGATTGCACATGTCGGGTGGCAGAATGTCAACTACGCGCATTCTGAGAGATGCGTGACATAGACGGCCTCTTTTTCTCTAGCGGACACGTTCGTTGTCGTTCACGTACTTTTCGGCCCCAGGCGCTGAGCCAACCGATCAGGGCGGAGCAGTGGGATGGCCACGGCGGTTCTGACCGGGAGGTTACGGGTTCGAGTCCCAGCAAATAGACAGCTCCATCCAGGCTAGGATTGAATGCAAAGCCGCGCCACCGACTGGACTCTCAACCGGGTCGCAGTCGGTAGACAATGTGATGCACGCGTGCAACAGGTACGCCACGGAGTCGCAAATCCTGTAAGTTACTGATCGCAGGTATCTGGGAGTTAAGGACCGGAAGGGAAACTTCCTGGGTAGAAAGAAACTACCCAGGCGCTGAGCCATGCCATAGCAGTGCCTTGAAGGTAGAGGACGTTATATGAGATCAAACTCGACGCCGAGAACTCGCATCCCTGCTTCCTCGCGGTACATGACCTCGTACATCCTCAACGCCATATCCTGTACGCCGACTTGTATGTAGATTATATGTCCGCTCGGTGGTTCAATGGTACACTTCGATCAGTTATAGCACGAGTAAGACTTGGGATCGTTTACGAACGAGCGCACGCCAGCATATGCCGAAAGAATCATTGGCAGGAAGGATAATGTCGTCATGAGAAAATGGTGTTGATGTCACCAAGTTGTTGTGCCGCTCGCGCCGACCGGTACATGCATCGTGAAAAGGCAGACGCACACGGTGATGATGACTCAACTTCGGATCAATAGAGTTCCAGTTCCGCATCGCACGACACAACAATGCTGCAACGTGTCGACTCCTGATTGTGCAAGTAGTCCAATTGCGACGTTACCGGTCATCAACTTTGCAGCAACTGTAGCTCGACTTTGTGCAACTGCTCGTGTTTGAACGACTTCGGGTATGTAAGCGCTATGACCGCCATATAGTCCATTTGTTTAGGGGCTAGCGTTTGGTGGGATGCATCCAAAACTTTGTTATATATGCTTTGCACTTGCTAGACTAGCTTCAGTATGGTGACAGAGCGGCGTATAGACTACCTGTATGAACTGTCATTGCTTTAAGCCTTCATGAGGTTGCGCCACAACCCCCAGCGTGCGCCATCCTGTAATATTACATTTACCGGTGGTAGACTGTGGTGGTACATCCAAGGCATTGGTACGTGTACCATGCGATGTACAACCTATCAAAATTAGTGTCGTTTCAGCCACTCAAAGATTCGTTCCAGGTTTTACTCTAGTAGAGGGTGCAGCCTTACATTTGATTACATATGTGTGATTTATTCCAGGTTAGAAGTTCAATTAGCACATGTCCGCATTTTGATCTGTATAGGACACGTGCCTTGCTAAGGCGTCTTTGATCACGAGAGTTGGAAGTTTTATTAAGGCATATCCTCTTTTGCGTTTTGTGCTGTTCATTGTCTAAATCTTAAATAAAAGTCTTTGAACTAGGGATAAAAGCATAGTGACCTAAGTAGACGTGTTCAGTCGTGCTCTTGTTGAGAACGAGGTAGCGCGTTGAGCTCAAGCCTTTCTTTCACAAGAAGATTTCGTAGCTACGCTAGATATCGTCTAAAAGCATTTTAATGTGTTCTACGGCAAATCCACACTCCTTTGAATGACTCAAGAAACAGCCATAATGGCATTAAATAAGGGAATATAAAAAAGGGAATTGCTAAATTCACACCCCTTTTCCTTAAATTCACACCCTTCCTTCAAAATCTTATATATACAAGGTACGCAATCGCCGTTGGACAAAGACGAGTTGTTTCTCTGCCACTTGGCTACGGGCGACATCTTGCGCGCTGCTGTAGCTGCTGGCACCGACATAGACAAAAATTCAAAGCCCACGGTGGTGTTAATGTTGGTGTTGGTGTTGGTGTTAATGTTGTTGTTGTATTGTTGTTGTTGTTGTTGTTGTTTTTCGTTGTTGTTGTTGTCGTTGTTGTTGTTGTTGTTGTTGTTTTGTTGTTGTTGTTGTTGTTGTTGTTGTTGTTGTTGTTGGTGGTGGTGGTGGTGGTGGTGGTGATGGTGATGGTGATGGTGGTGATGGTGGTGTTGTGTTGTTGTTGTTGGTGTTGTGTTGTTGTTGTTGGTGTTGTGTTGTTGTTGTTGGTGTTGTGTTGTTGGTGTTGTTGGTGTTGGTGTTGGTGTTGGTGTTGGTGTTGGTGGTGTTGGTGTTGGTGTTGGTGTTGGTGTTGGTGTTGGTGTTGGTTTTGGTGTTGGTGGTGTTGTTGGTGTTGGTGTGGTCATCCTCGTGCTAGTGGCGTACATCCCAGGCCTGCTCGTCATGTATAGCCACATGCTCACGCAGCGTAATTGTGCGAACTACACGACAAAGATCAAGACTGCTTAGAGAAGGATGCGACAAGAGAAAAATGAGAACTGGCAAGAAGCAATCGTGTGCTGAGTGCAGTATAACGCTTGGAAGTTATGAAGAGCACAAGACAAACTTGCACCCAGTGCGTCCGGTACCCTAACTCGGTTTAATATATTTTCGCTACAATCTGCAGTTTCGAATTAGCTCGTGCATTTCTTGAACGCCTTATTGGATTAGAGGTGATCTGATGGAAACTAATGGGGTCAGGAATTTCTTGATAAACATACTGAACACTAATGTGTTCTCCATCAGGAGCTATAATGTGTTTTGAAGACTTGGCGAATTCCATTTTGCTTCACCGTGTCCAAGCGTAAAAAATACATACACGCACGGTAAAAGGAAGTATGACAATCGATAACTGATCAACATCAAGGTGTTATGATTTGCTTTAGAAGTATGCATACTAGTCTTCAACCTCTTATTACATTTGAAACTGGCAAGTTCGTTTGTAGCGACCTGATTGACCGCAGCACCCACCTTTCCTTTGGTGTTGATAATCTGCCTTTTCAACATGTTCGAACCTGGACAAGTCTCGTTT